CTAGCTCAACAGCGCTCAGGCAGGTATCCTAACATGCTTTCCTGCTGCCAAAGGGGCAGTTGTAGCTGCAAACCCCATCCCCTTGCCAGATGGCCAGAGATGGCAGTCGGTGGAGATGCTTACGGCTCTATAATGGAGTAGGAAGACCTGTCAGGGCCTTTTTTGCCCTTTATTCAAAGCCACTTGAATTTTCAGCCCTCAGGGTACGCTCCAAAGGCCATTTGCTTTCCCAGATCCCCAGCAATTCTGATGATTGTACAGATATGGTGTTTTTACCAGCTAAATTACAATTGAGGTTTTCACCTGGGTGAAGAAGATAATTGCTCTAGCCTATCCACACACACAACATTTAGAAGCGGGTCTGTTTATAATAAAGACTGAGTTCTGACTGTAGAGTGAGGGCATGCTGGAAATGGATGAAAACTAAGCATTCTCTGCCTTTTGAGGAGTTGCAAACCAGTTGCAGAATGGCCCAAAAGGGTCTCTTCCCTGGGGAAAATATTGCAATCTTAATCTTCTCTTCTCCTCTTTTTTCTTTTTCATAACAGCAGATTCTTCAATACTGGATGTTATTCTAACCCCTCGACTGTGTGATAACTAAAGGTCTGGCACCATGTAGGCATATGGCCCCCAAAGATGGACTTGCTCAACTTCTTGGGCACATATCCGCTTTTGTTTTTGATTTTTCCTTGCCCATTAAATTCAGATTTTGAGAGACCGGAGAGCTTGTACGGAGCATTTTTTGCCACCTGCAAGCTGCAGCAGGGCTGTTCCTCACTGTATATCCCCCGACGTGTGTTGTCAAGGCCTCAAGTTGAGTGCGCCTTTCACCACTTCCCCAGGAGATCCCTCCACAGCAGGCTTTGTTTTGCAACAAATATTCCCTGGTTTGTTTGTTATCTTTCCTCCTGCTTTATTTGTGAAGCAGCATCACAAAACGCCCCCTCCCTCATCGCCACCTCTGTTTTTTTGTTTCCTGTTGGGTGTTTGGCTGTGACATGCCAAAGAAAGACACAGATCATGAGGCAGAGAACATCTGGCCCGCGCCACAGTAGACAGGCAGAGGACAAGCTCGGATCAATAAAACGAAGGTTTTTTTGTCATTTTTCCTTTAGCAGGACCTTGTTGCGGGATGTACAGAGCTTCCTGGCACAGCCCTGTGGGGCAGAAAGCCCCAAGCAGGACTCCCTTCTTGTGAACACGACTGCGGCCTGCAAACGTTTAAAGGCAGCTTCTTACGAGTTGGCCACATGCTTCAAATTGTTCTGTGGTTAACCGCGACGAGCAACCCCCACACAAATACCTAGGGCTCCGTGCGCCGCAGCCAGGGTGGTAGCGCGGAAGGAGGAGGGAGGGGGGCCCTTCCCTCTGCTTTTGAGGAGAAAATCGAGTTTTCTTCTGGCTTTCCAAGCCTGCTGGCGGCCACGGTGCCGTGCTCCGCGCCGGAGTTCGCACGTTTGTTCATGTTTATCGCTGGTGAAAGGAGCCTTGTTGAACGGCTGCGTTGACAAACACCGCAGGCCTGGTGACTGCTCTTGTGATCAGGAAGGGAAAGCATCGCCTTTGACTTTGTCCTATTCCATGTCCCTTAACTCTTATAAAAGCTGAATACTTTTCTGCTGACTCACAGAGGCAGCTGGATTTCGTTAGCTCTGGACAAGAGAGAGGAGGCTACAAGGGAAGGCCTCCCTGCTTCTCAGGAAGGCTCAGCCAGGCATTGGGTTTGGAACCCAATGCGCTAACTTGCACGGTCATCGTGGATGGAGCTTGGCTTATGGGTGCCATATGGCAGTACGGTGATCCCTGCTGCCGCTTCCCTTGCTCACACTAAGCCATTTCAGAAATATCGAGGCCATATGTCCTTCCCTCAGGTGCCTCGTGCCGTCTCTCCAGAGGGAGGCAGCTTCCAAAAGTCAAAGAAAGAGGGAGGTTTAAGGCCAGCAACAAGGAAAAAGACCTCCAAAGCATAAGCATGCATATAGCTCTAAAACCCTCAAAAATTCCATTGCCCCAGTTTGTATCTTCTGGAATTCTAGAAATATACAGGGAAGTGAAAAAAAAAAAAAAAACAGAACTCTGTGATTGTATTTTCTTGTATTTTTGAGGGACGTAAAGCCACTGAATAACTTGTCTTATAACTACGTCCTACATGGGGACAACTTTCAAACTCAGTTGGCATAGATTTTCATGTATAGTTTATGAGAGGGAACTTAAATGGAAATACAGAGATTTATTTCTCCATGCACCTAACTTTTAGATCCATTTTAAGTTTAATCAGACATTTTCTGAATGAAAGTAAAGACTTTGCACTGTCTTGAGGGAAAGACTTGAGGCTTGAGGGAACGACTCAAGGTGATCTGCTTGCTCAGATAAGAAACAAAACTGTTCTTTCCTTCTTCCAGAAAGCAGTACGAAAAGGTAGTGTTAAAAGCTTCCAAGTGTGGAACAATTTTGGTGAAAGCCATCTAGTTACACCGGTCCATTTTTCATCTGAGTGCGAAACATCACTGTGTGTATTAAGTTAGCTCTCCGGGACTCCTTGCCTGTCAAAACTGTTTATTAATACTTGCCAACAACAGCAAGAGAGGCAGGAGGACTGGCAGTCACGATGGTGAATGAGATGGACACATGGAGTGAGGACCTCCTCACTGATGCCAAAGAACAGGAGGGGGAAATAAGGAGGGAAAGAACATTAAAGCATGAAGTATGTAATCCTAGAACATTTAAAAGTGCAATTGGTTGCTCGGAACAGACCAAAAGAACTGGCATGGTTTAGTCCAAATAGGCTTAGTCTTAGTGCCTCAACAGTCTTTGACATGGGAGTAAATGTCAGCAGAAGCAGCTGCTGAGGTTATTGTCACGCTCACCATGGCCACAGGTAGCTGAGTTGGGAATACTGTCCTTAGATGTTCCCAAACTGGTGTGATAATTGCTTATTAAGGACCTATGAAGTGCTTGGGACAGTTATATAAAGAGGTACAAAAGAATTCCCAAAGTCTAAATCAAACAAAGCCTAAAACCTTTGTGAGAGCCTTTAGGACCAAAAAAAAAAAAAAAAAAAGGCGGGGAAAGGAAAAGTGTTCACATTTAAAAAAAGAAACACGCACACAATGCACTGAAGGTTGTGCTTCTGCACTTCCTGGATCTGGGTGTGAGCAGAAGAGGAAATACCAAAATACCACCAGGAAAGCAATTCCCACAATATTTCCAGACCAACTTAAACCAGCAAGTTCTGAAAGTCCTGCAAAAAATGGTAAAATAACCCAACCGACCCAGTTCCAAGTCTTCTGCTCATGAGACAGACAACCAAATTTTTAAACCTAGGAGACTTGGGTAGACCTACCAACCATTGCTTCTTGGCTCTCACCCATGCTCTCCGTTTTCTGTGGTTCACCAACCAGTAGTGACATTTTGACTCTTTTACCAGCTGCTCCTGCTTAATTGCAACATGAACATAGACCACTAAATTGTGGGTTAACATAACCACATGGCGGGGCACCAGAGTTCCACACTAACTCAGGTGGGGAGTTCCTTGCTCTCCTCATCTTTTCAGAGGTCGACGCTCCTACGCTGAGAATATACATGCATGTATTCAATAAGAACTCAAATGTCAGTGCATAAAATACCACCAGTTTACAATGTTGCCTTGTATTAACGATTAATAATTAATTCCTGAAGGCTTGAAGGTAAACAAGACATGAGTTCAACCTGGCAGGTCTCCCGCTAGTATTGAAGAAAGCCTTGAAGCAGAGTGGCGGGATGAGATTCAGGAGGCTGTGCAGAAAGCTGGCTCACCAGCCAAACAACAGTTTAAAACTTCAAGTTTTAAAGTTCTGTAGAGAATTTAAAAAATGTTTCCTTTCCTTTACTGGTATTAAAAAAAAGTGAAATACTGAAAAAGCAACAATTTAAACGTGAAAGTCTCTTGACTGACTTGCAGTATTATATATTAAAACTCAGAACATTTTCAACATTCTAATGAAAATCAGGACTGAAGTTAAATTGCTTTCCACTTTTTTTCTGGTTTTCACTATAGGCATTTTTTAATATCTAATCAAGTTCTGAAGCAATCTTTTCCCTAAAATTAGGGAACCAAACCTCTTGGAACGATGCCAAAAAGCAACTCAGGAATGTGCAGTGTAGCCAGAGCCATTAGCTAAAGGACAGAAAAAAAGTTGTAATAATGATGACTCTTTGTTCCTGCTCTCCCACATCTCGCTCAGACAACTTTTCCGTCGGTTTCAGCAAAGAAATTGGGTTTTATTTCCAAATCCTGAGTGGCCGATTCATTGCAATGGGATGGAACTAAAAGCATCTAGGGCTAACAATGCCGGCAGGGACTCCCGCATCCCAAAGTGAAGTTAAAACCTGAGCTAAGCCTCCCGTTTGCACCCAGCTTTCCCGGTCATTCAGTGCAGCACACCACTCAGCATTTCCCTCCGACGGCAGAAAGCCCCTTTCTGGCCTCTCCAACAGGGCTGCATGAAACGCGCTCGCGCTACTGCTGCAAACTTATTTAAGAGACAATAGGCAAAATAGTTGGCACACGGATTCCTTTTAAAATTTCAAACTGGATTCACAATGAAACATAAAAGGCCAGAGAAGCATATAATGAGAGGCATAAAAGCCCTTGTTTTTAAATTCATTTTTGCTGTGATTGAGACTGAATGGGAGCCTGATTCTGCCAGTCTTCTTTTTTCAATAAGAGGTTGCTTATGGGAGTAAAAGTTACTTACATGAGTAAGGACTTGCAGAATTTGGCCTTAAATATTTGGCTACAGAAAAGTTTACTTACATGTTATCAGTAGAGCAGAATGTGTTTTGGGAATTACAAATGGACTTTGCTATTTTTTTCTTTAAAGTTCTAACTTCAGCTACATCTTTTTTTTTTTTTTTTTTTCAAATTGCTCAGTAGCCACATTCAATGGACACAGTTTTAGAGCCATGTTTCAGAGGTAAACATCACTAGCCACACTTAAGCGCAATGTGCTGTAACTCACCAGGACTTGTGCAGTCTGAATTCCCATTCCAGATTTGTTCCTCAAACCTAGGGCCATTATTCCATCTCAGACTAAAACATATTCTCCCATGGGCAGCTGGAAAATATCATGTTTCTTCAGGTTTTAGGTCCGCAAAAAAAAAAAAAAAGTAGAATAAAATAATAATAAAAAAGGGAATCCAAAGTACGGTGATCCTCAGAGTTCGGGAGTCTAAGAGTTTTGATTTGCATCCATAAAAGTCCTGACCGGTGAGGAGCTACAGGCACCACAACTGGAAGGAGAGCAGGAAGGAAAGCCTACCATGTGAGCAAAGTGAAAAAAAAAAAGGCAAAAAAAAAAAAAAAAAGAAAAGGGAAAAAGAAAAAGGTCTGCTCGGTGGACAGCACTTGGGCTGATCGCAAGGATTTCAGGAAATCCAAACACTCAGACAGGAAATCTGAACACTGGATAAACATGCCATAATCTCCGCAGATGCAGCGCCCGGGCTGCGTCTCCCGTTAACCCTTGTGCTGCCCGCGCGGCGGTCGCGCTGGCCATGCCTCCTTCCACCCCACGGGCACCCTGCCGAGGCGCCTTCCCTCCCTATTTGTCCGTGGTGAAGCTTTAGTCGCAAAAAGTAGGATTTGTGGCGAGCCTTTCCTCCACCGCGAGTAAGAGATGTTGTGCGCCGAGTTCTGCAACAGCAGGACAGACCTGTGCCCACGCCTGCTGCTGCTCACTGGGTCTACCTGGAAGCCAGGGATTAGTTTTCTGCCTGTCCCTGCTTTTTTTTGCCTCTCTTTTGCTGTAACTCAGGGTTTATCTGGCTATGCGATACTTGCAGGGTCCTAGGGATGATTTACTCCGGTGCTGCCTGCAGCAGGGGGGAGGGAAGGACACCTTGGAAATTGGAGGGAGAGAGAGTCCTTAAAGGAACAGGAGATTTGGAAAACTACTTTTACGCCATTTTGTCACGGAATTTAGGATCAAGCTCCTCAGTCCTTAGTTGTTCCCTGAGTATAGACTTTGCTCCTTGTGTCTGGTGGTTACCTCCCAACATTAACAAGATTACAGGTTTTATTTTTTTTCTTCCAGCCTTCTTAATGGAATTCCTTATTTATGTAATCTTTCTTGGCTAACACAGAAGTGCAAAACTCTTAGTCAAATACGACCATAACAAAAAGTTATCACTATCAAAAAGTTTACACTATCAAAATAGTGTAAAACTGACCCTCTCGTTCCTGCAGATATAGCTGGTAAAGTGAAGTTTATGGGAGAGTTGTCCCACTGTAATCCCACTGATAACACACACAAAGCTAAGGACGTGTGTGTTTGCAGGATGGGGATTTTGCTGAGTTTTCTGCAGGACAATTGCTGGCCTCACAGCTTTTCAGAAGCACCTGATCCCTAAGACAAGGGCCCTCTTGGAAAAACACCACTTTTCTCTTAAGAAAACTAGTGCCTTGAACTTCACATGGCCTTTGCTGGTAGCTAGTAGAGGTAATTAGACACAGAGGTAACCACCATTGACTAGTCTGCTTGCACAAAGCATGGGCCAGTAACTCATCTCAAACAGCCCTAATGTTGGTCCCACATGCAATATAATCTATATCATTTTTGTAGGGTATGAACCAGGAGAAAATATTAGCACTCTACTAAAAAAGCTTCCTTCAGCAACTTCTGCTAGTTATAGCTTCTGCTTAGTATTTCCAGGAGAGAAGCTCTGGCAAAAAAAAAATATATATATATATATCTGTTAGAGCATTTGCTGGAAGTGGCTGGGCTTGGAAATGGAACCATGCCTACTGAGGAGGCCATCCTGGCCAAGCAGAGCCATGGGAGCCTGGCCAGATTGCTGGGGTGGAGAATGGGACTTTTGGGTCATCCTCGCATCAGGAAACCTCCTCCAGTGTCCAGCATGTCCAGCCCAGCTGTGAGACAGGAAACACCCTGAACACTGGGTCCTCAGGTTTCCTATCCCACTCCTGCTACCCTGTAGGGTGCTTGAGGCCTTGGTGGAAGAGTCGCCCTCATGAAGGCCGTGGTGGAGGTAGTGGGAGAACAGCAGTGTTACCTGCCGGGCGTCAAGTCAGCCCCAGTGCCCAGAACGTGTTACATGAAACAAGCACCAAATGGTTGCTTGATGATGTCAGGAGTGGAATGGGTGGAAAAACAGTGAAAAAAAATTAAAACATCTCAGGTCTTGAGTTTTTTTTTGTTGTTGTTCCATGGGTTTTGCCAGTGAGCTATTTCGCTTATTCACTTTTTCCCATAAAAGCTCTTTCTTCACATTTTTTTTTTTGCATCTCCCCTGTTCTCATCTTTTCCTTTTAGTCCCACACTTTCTTGGAGCAGCAGGAAAAAAAAAAAAAGAGAAAGCTTAGCTTTTGTTTTTCAGTTTAACTGGGAAAAAAAAAAGAGAGAAAAGGTTTATAAGGCCCCCCAAAACTGGATTCGGAAATGTTTCACAATGCAGAGACTTTTCATTTGAAAACATTCAAGCAGCTATAGAAGAAAGGAGCTGGGGGGAAGTGGGATATAATTTATTACCACTAACATCTGCTGTAAATCAGTTAGAGGTAGGCAAACATTCCCTGCCAGGGCACAGTTAGGTCAAGGTGAGAAGGGACAAAGCAATAATTGAAAGGCCTGTGTTCTCCAGCTCCCTTCTATCGGCTCTGAGCAGAGGAGCAAGTGCGGGCTGCTAAACTGGTTTTCTTTTTCCTCAAAAGCTTTGTAGGGGGTAAAAAAATTAATTGGTATTTTCAGTGGAAAGCTATCAGTTTATCAAAAAGTCCCCCAAATTTCTATTAAACATTAAAAATATTGTACGTTTCTGTTTTCTAGCTTAAGAAATGGTTAACAAAGGACATGCTTGTTGTGAAAAGTTTCATTTGGCAAGAAATTTCTATTAAAAAACTCCACAGAAAAATATTGCAATAGGGCCTAGTACAAAGGAGAACAAGGACAGCACGGTAAATAGAATAATGAAGCTCACAAATATAAACTGTGCAGAAACATCTAGCAGAAACAGAGTAGAGATAAAACTTGAAACTCAGTCCAATAGAATTACCAAGGCTAAAAATTGAATAGGGATTGCTGGGAGGGCACAGCAGCTGCAAAGTATCCACGATCACCTAAGAGCAAAGCCAATGGCCTGACTCAGTGCAGATGTGAAGATGCTTGACTTTAAACTGGAAGGAAACCCACATCCCTCCTTGATGTACCCACACGAGCTGAGCTTTCTGCTTGCTTGCTCTGCATCCCTGGGATGTAAGTTTTGGTAGTCCTAGAGCTGACAACAAATCCCTACTTTCTCAACAAGGAGCTCTCAAGCTACTGAATTAAGACAAATCCAGTTCATTAAAGATTAAAAGGGTTTAGCGACGCATGAGGAAGATAAAGCACAATGAACTATAATTGAGATTGTGAACTAAATGCTGGTGAAAAAATTATCATTAACTTGCAAAGCCCGAAGCGCTGTCATTTTTCATGTTTCAATGACAAACCGTTATCACAATAGCTAAGAAATTATATTTTCGATATCAACTTGAAACAAAGTTCTTTCATTTTAGCACCCTACTTCATTGGATTTAGGGAAGACTTCAATAAAGTCATTAAAAAATTTGGAAAAAAAATAGACGGTCCTGATTTTGTCATTTTTTACCCTTCAGCCACCCTGAGGCTTTACACCTTGGAAAATATGACTGCTGTATTCACATTAAGCTAATTTACTTTGCCTGTTGCATATGGCCAGTCCTGAGCACTCAGCAGTCCCAGATCCCTTGGTAGCTGCTGGGAATCGGATGCCAGTGAAATACTGTGACGCACTCAAACAAAGTCCCACATTCACACTGTGAGTCGCTCTGGATTTGCAACAACATATGCTTAAGCTTAGCAAACATTAGAGAAAATGACTAGAAAGCACTAACGAAAAAGATTTAATAAACACTGACATGACTTAACAGAAGCCATAAACACTGTTTTTTTTTCCACAAAACTTCAGGAATCAACTGGCTTAGCCACTTCTTGCTGGGCTGCAGAACACGTCTCTCTGTGCATTGGCGCTCAGTTTTAACGTGTTTGCTTAGAGATCCCTGCCAATTTTATTACAGTCCTCTGCTGCTTAAATGAGCAGCCGTGGAGGTTTACTTTGGAGATCAGCATCCCTGCTGGCAAGTTTGTGTTCGCAAAAGCACCGAGCCCCCTTCATGCAGCAGCAAACCATGTGCCCTTGCATTAAACAACAAATGCTGCCGCTCTCCCCACTGTTCATTCAGCGAAACACAACAGGAGCTGTGTTCTGACAGGTTTAACAACATGTTCCTACGCTTATTAAGCAAATAACACCTCCCCATGTTACAAAAAAATGTCCACAAGTTAGAAAGTGTCTGACAAATTCACTTGACCCTTGGTGAGGACAGCAACTGTAGCCATGCGATGGGAAGCTGGACAAGGGCTTGCATTAAATATCATCAAATAGAGTTGCTTACAATGTAGCAGGCGTGGTTCATTTTCAACTTTTCCTTTTTGGTGTTTTTCATTTTTTATAGGAAAACAAAACCCACAAATGTTAAAATGTTTCCTTCTATGCCTTTCCTCTTTCTTCCTTGACCCCAAAAGAGGAATTTTTCATAGTTCTTTCATAAGTCTAACTGGTGGCTCCAACATTTGATGGAGACATCTGGAAACTCCAGGTAGTGTTGAGAGACAACTAGAGGTTAAGTTATACACCACCTACACTAACAGTAACAAAATGCCGTGATTTGAACTTCTGAGTGTGAGTCTGCATCAACCCCGGAAAAACTCCAGGCTGTGAACTCCCGAAAGGGCCAGGTTAGCAGAACCCATCCCAAAATCCCAGACGGTTGAGGTTGGAAGGGACCCCTAGAGATCATCTAATCCAACTCCTTTGCTCCAGCAGGGACACCCAGAGCATGTGGCACAGGGTGGCATCCTCCAGGGTGGCTTCTCTGCAGAGAAGGAGACTCCACAGCCTCTCTGGGCAGCCTGTTCCAGGGCTCTGTCACCTTCACAGGAAAGAAGTTTTTCCTCACATGGAGATGAAACTTCCTGTGTTTTAGCTTGTACCCATTATCCCTTGTCCTGTCACTGACCACCACTGAGAAGAGTTTGGCCCCATCCTCCCTACATTTTGCCCTCAGGTACTTATACATATTGATCAGATCTCCTCTCAGTCTTCTCCAGGCTAAACAGGCCCAGCTAAGGGCAGACATCCTCAGAGCATCATGCCAGACATGAGTTCTCCCTTGACTACTAAACAGCTCCT